TAACTCTCTCCTACTGTCAAGCTAATCTGATTAAAATCCGATGTAGGTATGATGCTCCATTTTTTGTTATTATTAATGAGTTTTCAAAATGTAAATGAATTGTAAAATTGGTTTTATAAAATGCCATGTTGTGAGCCACATCGATTGCCATACTCAAACTTTAATTAACAGTTAACATAATTTCGAGTTACGGCAACGTAGATTGTAGTTATTGTTCAAACATCGAGATACCGTCATTCATTTTTGACCACGCAATAAGTTCGCTTGTTTCAAATTTTGGGTTTAGTCACCTGTACATCTTCACAACTTCTTGTCGACGTCTTGCTGGAGCCTGGGAACCACCACAGACCACAGACAGAGGCCAGAGTTGTGTACTTCCTCATCAGCGTCATTCCATATTTTCATCATCTCCAACTCTTTCTGTCTTTTATCATACAACGATTCATTGCAACCCACAACTGTCCGTGTCACTGGTTCAACGTTTGAAATCAGGCAAACATATTCTCAAATCTTGACATTAGTAAATTTTGGCGCGTTTTGTTGCAACAATAACAGTAATATTGTTGCGACATTCAAACGCGCACAGCGACTAAGTTGAAACAAGCAAGCTTATTGCGTGGTACCCCAGGCGCTGGAGATGGTACATGTTTGTGTAGCATTATCCCACCGGGCGGGCGGAACTTTACTACCTCCAGCGCCTGGGGTAATTGCGTGGTTAAAAATGAAAGACAGCATGTGAATGTTTGAACAATAACCATGGAAGGCCGAGTGTTGCAATATTCATTAACAATATTTATGTGCAAGATTTTACATTCATATGACATAAAAATTACATATATTTATGGAAACCTCCATTTGTATTCATAGATCCTTGTAAAATCTCCATTTATAATTGTAATTTTTATTCTTGAAATTTACATCTCTATTACATCTCCATTTGTATTTATAAAATATGCATTTGTATTTGTAAAATCTTCATTTGTATTTATAAAATTGCATTTGTATTCGTAATATCTCAAATTGTATGCGTGAAAACAATCATATATAGCCAATCACAGGAAGTATTTAACACGTCATATACAATGATTAATCGTCTGCTATATCGGAAAACTACGCTTACCAAACTGTCCGGATAGCGACGGTTATATCGTAATTAACTCCATTCACCGAGGCATAAAATACACATTTTCTCTGGGAGTCAGGCTAAATTAAGTCTTGGGAACATGACAAAGTGCATATCTAAGCCAAGTACGAGAATTGTCTGTTTCAGTATCCAAGTACAAGTCATCATATTAGGTAAATCACGTGACACAAAACCTGATTTGATTAAATAAAAGTACTAAGTTGAATTTAATATCTTCACCGGTCTCGAACGGCCAGGTCAAAAGTGATACGGTGTCAGCTCAGACCAC